AATCTGGTGAGGGATCTGCCTCTGTCGCCGAGCGCTGCGAACGGAGTGACAACAGACTCTTGCACGGACTCAGCTGGCCAGGCTGAGCCGCTGTGGTCACGGCACTGTATGTCTGAAGCGCTGTGTGATGTCGGCTTCCTGTCAGTAGGCTCGGGAGGCAGAGCGGTGGTTCGTGTGGTGGCTCGGGAGGCAGGTGCCGGCGGAAGTTGTGAAGAGGTCAAAGGAGTATCGGGGACTGATGCAAACTGGGTCGGTAGCCACGCAGTTATGACATGTGGACCACATTCAGTATTTTTTATTCCTTCATCATGATTATGATTGTTAAATGCAATGGAATCTCATCAATGAATAGCTTTTTTTTCCAAAGAAAGGAGTTTTCTAAAATTGCAGTGTTAAAGAGCCAGTTTAGTGCTTTGTGCAGTTCTTATGTTTATATTGTCTGCCAAATCATAAAACTTCAACATTCAGTTTACACATGTACACATGTACAAAACTGTCTAAACCTGAAAAGTAGTTTCCTTTACTGAGGAAGTATGGGGGCTACTTTTGCTCATTTCCCCTTTAAATAATATTAGTTGTCTGGTTGTCATTCTAATACAGTGTCTTCAGTACTTTCAGTCATTGACCTAGATCAAGTATGGGAATTTGGAGCTTTACTTTGACTTTTCTTATCTGCATACTTGTGTGAAGACAGTGTTAAAGAGCTGAAGCAAGAGGCAGCCAGGGAATTAGCATTTTCAGAAGGTCAGCAATGGTAGTCTTGGTGTTTCCCTAAGTAGAGGTTTACTTAAGGTGTATGTATAGTCCAAACAATTTTTGCCTCTATCAGGTCATTTTCTTTTTCCACCTCCCCGCTGGGGAGATTTCCCCTAACCTCCTGTCCTGGACATGCAACAGGAAGTATGAGGAAATCTTCCCACTATGAGGGTTATTTCTTTCTTAGGCTGTTTTAACCAGCACATTTGTCCCCATTTTTTCTCCTCACCAGAGCAGGAGCTCTAATATGTTGGATTTCCCCTCACTTTCCCAGGGACAATGGTCAGCGAGAAAAAAGGGGTTCATTTTCCTAGCGGGTGACACAGCGATAAAAATGCAGCAGAAGATTTAACCCTTCCTATGCTATCTTAAACTAAAAAAGAAAAGTTGTTTCTTTCACATGCACTTTACATGAGACGTAGAGACAGATCACTGTGTTTGGTAGCACTGTGTGCAGGCCCGGATTTCCCACAAGGCCACCGAGGCCCGGCCTCGGGGCGGCAGAGCGCCTCGGGGCGGCAGTGGTGACCTTGTGGGGAAGTTGCGGGCGCCGGTGTAAGGTATCCGGCGGTTCTGACCCTGACTGTGTGGTCTCCTTTTTCCTTTCCTAAGAGATACATTAAGGCTGTCACTGATAATCCCCTTCTGTAGATGCTTGTTGTCGGGCTTATGCACTGACTAAATGGGTTCAGTAAGATTTGAGTTACTGACCTGGAACAAGTATGCATATCTGTAACGTTGGAGTAAAGTCAGACATCCTTATCTGCATAATTGTTCCAGGAAAAGAACCCAAAGCTCTGAAGCAAGCATAAACATGACAGCCATGTAATTGGCATTTACAGAAGGAGACCTAGCAATGGCAGCCTCCATATCTTTCTCAGGAAAGGTTTCCTTTAAAGGCCAGTTGCACTGAAAACTGATTTCCCAGTTTTCCGTGGTAGCGGACAAGTTCAATAACATGCTTGTCTGTATATCTTTGGGATTCCAGTGGTGAGATATCCCCTCCAAAATGTCCTGTCTCTTACCGGCTGAACTAGAGGCATTGTTTCGCACAAAAAAAAACTAATTCCATTCATGGCAATCACCACATCACTAATAACAATTATATTTCAAGTAGGAATGGTCAATTTGAATAGTTTAAACAGCTTTGTTGCATTAGGGCTAATCTCCATAAAATCCATGGCATTTCCCGTGTATTAACATGCTTGACAGGAATATAATTTTGAAATGGACGGGCTTTAGCAGAGTTTACGGATATGCAGGGTAAGCAATGTGTTAAGCATCTCAGCCTGGAAAGCGTCAATGCGGTTTTGATTTTACAACATAACAGAAACCATGGAAATGTATGATAATACAAAGTAAAAATATTAGTTGGTGATTGATAATGTGTTAATTCGTTACAGCTTTTGTAGACAGCTTGAGAGGTATACAGTGATACACAGTATCTACATGACAAACATTTTAAAGCTTAACTCCAGTATAAATTATTATGCATATTTACACTGGTCCAGCTTGACCCACTGTAGGTATGCATATGCCATACCTGATCAGTCGCTGGGGATCCTGTAAAGCACTGTAGTAGCCGGAGCTACTACAGTGCTGGTCGCAATCTTCCACATCCTGGTACTGCGCTGTGCTAAGTAGTTTCCCCTCGGCCTGCTTACTCAGCACAATGGCCATTCATAGAACACCTAGTATTTTATCAACAAATACAATTTTATCCTGCATGGTACTGTTTTTTTTACTAATGAATACAATGCGTTCTCTGATTGAACGAGGGGTGGATTGTGAAGTCACCCAACTCTCGTCCTATCAGAGATGCCTTGTATCCATTGATAAAAATACAGCACCATACATGACCCAGGAGATCGTGGCCAGCACTGTAGTAGCTCTGGCTACAACAGTGCTTAACAGTATGCCCAGTAGTCGATTAGGTAAATGTGTCGCACTTTCTTCTCTTATCTCCAAATTAATGGTAGTATGTGATAATCTAAGTAACTAATAAAAATAAACTTTCCAATCAACTACTTACAGTGCCAAAATAAATGTGTGATCCAAGTGAAAATATAATTCTATATAATATAATCGTAATCTAAAAAATATATTCACATTTCAATAAAGTGTTATACTTGCATAAAATGATTTATATTGTGTCAACAGACACTTAAAAAAAAGTGCATTTAAAAGTGCATTTGAAAAAGTCCTTTTCCATTTCCCACTTTGAACAATGTGACAATTAAATCCACATCTTTCCAGGTGGTCTTTCACACCCCACTCTTTAAAATGTGTAAATCAATACCAAGCCAACCTTCTACTTATTGCCGTTCACCAATCCGCTCAAAGCAAAAGGGGCCGCTCACCTCAATCATCAGACCTTATAATATAGCGTTTTCCCTTCACGGGCAAAGTCAGATAGATCTGCCATTATGCTGTTACGGATATCCACGCTACAATTCTCCAAGAAGACTCATGCATCAAGATACAGATAGAACCATAGTGCACACTGCTAACTGTTAAAAATGCATTTATTAAAAATATACTCCCAATAATAAAATAATTGATATGCCAGAAACAACTAATCACGGAAGCTTTTCCCACACAGTAATCGCTGCTGGTAATACATGCTGAGATGCTCCGTTCCTTCATGCCACCCTGCGTACGTTATGTCAATGCGTGATTTCATCAGAGGTTGGGAGGCGGAACAAATACGGAGCTTAGAAATATCTTAACATAACCATGCAACCCAAGTACACAGATACCTAATCGATATCCGGCAGCCATGGTGACGAAAAGACATACAATAGAGTTGTTTATTTCCAAAGTGTACTAAACATATCGCAGACTACATCTTTAAAACAGGATCCCCAGTAGACGATCAGGTATGACATATGCATATTTACTTTGGGACAAGCTGGATCAATGTAAGTATGCATAAAAATGTATACTGGAGTTCCGCTTTAAAGTAAAACTCCAGCCAAAAATTGTATACAGGATGGGACAAATATTGGTTGTTGTACTAATGTTTAGAACAGTAATTATGAAGACAGCTTACCCGTTTGGGGTTCTGCCATATTATAAAATTGGACATCACATACTTGCATTCATTGTAATCTCTTTTTAAAGATGTGTTATCTGCTTTAAACATGCCACACTCAAATATAGTAAATAACAATTGTAAATTAGTATAGGCGATGGAAGTTTTTTAGCAAATTTGTGTTTTTGCTCATCCAGGACAAAACCAGTTCACTTTTCTTTTTTTAAAGAAACTTTTTATTGAGGTTTTTCAGTGTCATAAACACAGTATAAAACTATACAATACAATCAACATACACAACAACCGGGTCAACATAACCCAGGGTAAATGGTACATTATATACATACATTATACCGTTTACAAAGCTACAAAGTCCAATACGTGGGAGCTAGCCACCATTCACAGGCAGTATACAGGTTGGAAAATTGGACGTAGCCGCTAGTAAATCAATGGGGTATAAACACGCCCAGGAATGCAAAAGAGGGCCATTAGTCTAAAAAAATGACAATGCAGTAAGAACATCATCTCAAATCCACCTTTGTAGTATAGGAGGACAGTCAAGGATCCCCCACCTTTCCATTTAGCCACTGGGTACAAAGGGGAAGTTTTTGGCCACCCAAAGGTCACTACAATCATAGTTTAAACAGGTTCTATGGACTCCCTGTATGACTGCACAGATTGGCCCAGCACTGTCACATGGAGTGAGTTATATGCTTCTCCATATCCACATAGCAGGTATTTTTGCCTTGGCTCCTGGCACTTAACACAGTGGTAGGGATGATGGGATTAAGGCACACCTTTTCCATTGTCTTCAATGGGCAAAGCACAGTGTTTTCTCAGAATTTTAGTAAAGGTAGTTTTGAATTTGTCAGCAGTAATGCAGTGTCTGAAAAAAGGTGATTGTTTCTGAGATATATCAGCAACAATAGCAAAATATATGTCAGCAGCAATGGTGTAAGTTTCATCACAAGTAAATATGTATATATAATGTATGTAACATAAATGTATAACACATACAGTATTTTGTTCAGGGACAGCATTACTGGCCTACAGGAGTCCCCACCATTGCTTTCCATTGTGTCATTTAAAGAAAACCCTAAAAGTTTGGGGTTGAATATGCGAGTCATTAGGCAAGGGAGATCTGGATCATGGTCATAGTTGATAGGCCCTTTGTAAGAACCATTGATATAACTATTGTTTTATTTCATAGGTTTGCAGGAGAAATGCTCGATGAAGATGTTTATCACAACAGAGACCTGGTAAATAATCGCCCTTTACAAGCACTTGTCGCTGGTCTTAAGGCCTATAGCACATGGGAGAATTTGTCATGTCTACAAGACTGTCGGGAGTGCACTGGTGGAATGGTGAGTGTTAAGCCAGTGCTAGCCTTATATTAGGCTTCAACTGTTCCAAATGATGGGCAAGCCATCTGATTTGCATATTGTCATATCTGATTATTTGTAAATTAAAAGGAAATCACCTATTTGAATGGGGCTCCTCCATGTAGTACCTCACTCGATGGTGGGCCACCTGCAAAAGTGTAATGTCAAGTTTGTTGTATATATAGGCAGTCCCCGGGTTACATACAAGATAGGGACATTAGGTTTGTACTTAAGTTGAATTTGTATGTAAGTCGGAACAGGTACATATTTTAAGTTTAACTCCAGCCAAAAAAAAAATTTTTTAGTTTTGGATAGCATAGGGAAGGGTCACTGCTCTTTTCCTGTTGTTCAGAATATTATAATATAATTTAAAAAAATTTTTATTTAAAATAACACAGCAAAAAACGTTTTTTTTCAATTTTTAATTTTATTTTATAAACTTTATTTTTTATTATTTGTTTGCATTGTTTATTTTTATTTAACTTTTTCTTTACTTTTTTAAAAAAATTTTTGTCTTTTTTTTTATTTAATTTTTGTAAACTTTTTTTTTGTATTTTAATTCTGGGAGCCATAGCCAGCCTGCTTTTGGATATTTCAAATTGCAATAGCCAAAAGCAGGCTGGCTATTGCATCTGCCCACTTACTGCTGTCAATCAGCAGAGGAGGGGCCTGAAGCAGAAAGTTCTCTATCAGGTCCCCCCATGCTAATTGACAGCAGACAGTGGGCAGTGTAAAGCAGACTGTCAGCTTTGCACTGGAAGCAATTCCAAGAACCGGTAAACAGAGTACCCCACCCGACACCCCTGCCATGCTTCTCAGTCTCAGTTGGCCCTCCTGTGGGCCCAGAAACAGCATTGTGGGTGTCATCTGGTAGCAGGAAGAGAGACCAGTGAATGTCTGTTCGCTGATCTCCTCCCTGCTGGATGAAGCCAGAAGCACCACTGATTGCATCACTTCTGGTTTCTGAGCTGTCATTCCCTGGCTACAATCTGTGCTTTAATCAGCTTCATTAAAGTGTAAAGGTGTCATTAGGACCTAATAGTAATACTAACACAAACATGCGTTGGGTGCGCCTACGAAAGAAAACAACAATTGAGTCACACATGTTGGGTATCGCCGCGTGCACCAGAGTGAGAGCAATAATACTGGGGCCAGTATATTAACAGTAACTGTAAACTGTTGATCTGTGCAGGCTTTTAAAGCGTCGCCTATGGAAAATTTGGGGTACCGTAATTGTTTGCTGTTTCACAGGCGCACACAATTTTTGAGCTAGGCTTTTGGGCATCTATTTACTCAGCACAAGCATAACTGTTATATTTTACTAAAATTAACATAAGTGTAATTTCTACTGAAATTTTGGGTTTGATAAAGTGTTGCGCTAATATGATGCGACATAAAAATTTGCTACTGCTGCCATTTTAGGGTGTCTGCTTTGAGGAAATATATAATTCTGGGGGGTAGTTTTCAGGCAAAAATGTGGGTTATAACATGTGCAAGAAACACTCTGGCAGCAAAAGGGTTAATCCTCAGCCAATAAATTCCAGTTCCTGTCTGAGAAACCTTTTATTATAGAGGGATAATTTGTGTCCTCAATCTCTGAATCATACGTAGCCCTAAATCCAGTACACTCTTTTATTATATAACAGTTTTTTGTTGTGTTCTTGGTGTATTTGTAATGCTTATCTGTTAGTTGTGAATCAAGATAACGGTACTGAAGAGCAGACTGTCTTAATATAAAAATTGATATTATTTAAATTCAGCAGTAACTAATAAGAAATCAGAGGGTTTATCGCTGCAGACAATAGTCAGAATGAGGCTTTTGCTGAATCGGATGTTCTTATTTAAAAAATGTATTTCTGAATGTGTGTTTTTAAAGTCGAATTGTAAAATACAAATCTGTTTTATTGTTTTACCTACAAAAGGATTTGAAATTATGGAATACACACACCTCTGCATCCAGATCACTGCTACTTCCTTGTTGCTGCATCCTGAGTCATCTTTACTGCTTCCTAGGTTAGCTCCCTGCTCACGGGACAGCAGTGATGATTTATTGCCTAATAGGAAGGCTGGAGGTGCCATAAGAAGCTGAATTGCTGTACCAGGAAGATGGGTTGTGTAGCCTGGAACTGCATGTGTCGCCTGTCTGCTTGTAATGTTTGGACAGTGTGTATAAATTACAAGATTGGCTGTACGGATTTAGAATTACTTTTGTAGTAAAACCGTTAAAGGGTTTTTCCACTCTCCCAGGTGAATTTTGAAAAATTTAATTACCCCCACCAATCTGGCCCCCATCTCACCTGCTGTTCTTATGTTTGGATGAACACTCCTTCCCCTCCGCCGGTGCAGGTTTAATATCTGTACTCCGTACACACCAGTGCAAGCAAAAAGTAACATTGTCACAATGGATATTTTAACAGTCTGTATTAACATAAGGTGATATAATAACTTCTGGTTATTTAATTAAGCTGTCTAGCAATGTCAAATCTGCTAGAAAGGTATACTTAGGAATTTGTTTATGTCTTCTTCCTGCTACTGACTTCCATAGTCCTGTAAGAGGCAGGCATTTTTAATAGAATGTTTTCTGGATTATTGTTTTTTAAGAGTAACACATGTCATGTTCTTTAGCTTCAGCAATTTAACACTTCTGTGAAAGTGTGAAAATAATATACTTGGTAATATGTTTTAAGCAACGGAAAACGTGTGTTTAAACACATTGATCAGTGTCCTTAAAAAGCTTTTAACCTCCTCGAGAATTCAGGTTGCACTCTGTAAACTATGTCAACGTGTTCTTGCTATTACGACCAATTATAATCCATAAACATGTCTAAAATTACTTAGAGTGTCAGCACGGACTATGAAAAATAGAACCGCAAAACTGTCCCATGTGGTGTTCAGCCACAATAAGCTTCATATTCATCACACAGAATATTATTACAAAAACCTCAAGTGGAAATGAGAGGGATTATTTTCATGCTGGTGTCTTCTCCTTTTTAATATAAAATAAAGAGTGTAGAATTGAGTATTGTATGATCAATCTAAATGATTTTATAACTACAAGAACCAACAGTGATTATATTGATCCTGTAAAAAGAATCCAACCACTGCCACAAATTTTTGTCCACTTATCTGAGATTAGTGGGTTCTAAATGGACAGATATAAAGCGAAGGAACAATCTTTTCCTGTAATCTATTAGAAGTGGATTTTGAATTTGTTGGTTTATGACAACACAGCAACAGTTACCTAACACAGCCATATCTCCATAAGCTTGTCTCTGAGAAAAGGGAATAATCCATTTACTGTACATATAGTAAAAGAGAATATATACTTTTAATCAGAATTGGAACTTACAGCCACTATGGTGCTTTAATATGCTATTTACTGTCAGGAGGATTTCGATCTCTTAATTCATGTTGAGCACAAGTGTTGTACTATTTTATTGTTATGCCTTTGTGATGAACTTTGAATACTGTATGTAAAAATCAAACATTGTGAGACTCAGGTCAGTTGTGTGTAAGGGAAACCAAAGGACAGTTATTGCTGGCCTGTTGGTAGTCCTACATGAGGGAAAACTGTTCATCTTCATTGCTAAAGTTAATAGCTTATCAAGTTGGTGGTTTAGGACAATCTGTGTGCAGAAGTTCTCCTGTTAAAGACATATAGTTATAGTCTGATAAAAATTAGGGCTGAAACAACTTATCGATAAAGTCGATAATAATGGACAATGAAAATCGTTGTCAACGATTTTCATTATCGATTAGTTGGTCGCTCGATTAGTTGGGCTGCCTGCAACTCCTCACACTCTCTCTCACTGACTCACTCACTCGCATGCAATTATCCCCGAACCAGGGTGGACTGACTGTTCGGGCACTGCCCGCGGCCCCCCCATGCCTTTGCTTCCCCCTCCTCCTGGAGTCACCCGAATCCCAGTGAGTGCTGACTGTTCCTGTTCGGGACCCAGGCCTCCACCATACCTCACAATCCTCCTCCTCACAGCGTCACTCGGAGTGCCAGTGAGTGCGGACTGTTCCCGTTCGGGACTCGCGGCCTCCTCCATGTCACAGCCTCCTCCTCCCCTGGCTGCTCTTAATGGACTGTGGATAGGCTGAAGTACATACATAGTACATACTACCAGTGAAAGTAGCATGTACTATGTGTAATGTGCATGTATTATGATTTGTATGTGTAATGCGTGTGTATTATGTGTTGTGTGTGTTATGTGTTGCTTGTGTACCATGTGTATTTGTGTGCAGTAATTGGAGTCAGTGGCATATCGTTGCAGCTGCCCCGGGCCAAAGATTTGGGGGGTGTATATGCTGGTCAGGCAGCAAACACATTTCGGCCCGGATCACACCATCTCCACTGTGTTCCGACACTGTTAGTGGCTGGCTTACACTGGATCTCATAGTGGAAGCCACCCTACATTCTGGGGCAGGAGGGGGCATGGCGGTGCCATTCACTATTTTTTGCAATCACACTAGACCAGAACGCAGGCATTGCTGTGCAAAGCGTTCTGGTGCAGGCAATCGCACTGCGGATGGGGGTGTGCGTCAGTGGTGTCATTGACTTGTATGACACCAGCATGTCCCCTTTCGCTACAGAACGCAAGGAGGCTTCCACTATGCAATCCAGTGCATTCCAGCCACTAACCATGCCAGAAAGCGCTTGAGATGGTGTGAAGCAGCCCTAAAACCTGAGAAGGCCGTGACACACTGCACACAGAGCTCCGCGCAGCAAAGGAAGGTGGCAGTGAACGGAGCTTTGCGAGCAGTGTCTAGCAATATCCTCCCCCACGCTCAGCTAGGCAAGAGCTGAGCGTGGCGAGATAAACATTTTTAATTTCTATCCAACTGGCTCACACGTATGAATCCGCCACATCAGGATGTGGAATCAAGCATGCAGCCAATCGGATTCCCCATACAAAAGCGTCTGGTGAGAGGAGTCCAGGAGAGAAGTCCGCTTGGCAATGTTTTCCTTTCTTCAC